TCATGAATTTCTTAAGAGGTGAAGTAACGAAAGTTAAATTTATTGAAAGAAACTATTCTAATCAGTTATACTTACAATAGCTTGTTTTGCAAGATTTCTTATAGAGGACATCTGAATATAAGTAGCGTGTCATTAGTGATATTGTTCGTGCAAATAGTAGAAAATTTATTCCATTCGAAAAAACTGTCTTACAAGCAAAGAAAACTTTATATAATTTAGAAAATTACCAACAATTGTTACATTTATATATTCATCACGAATAATTATGATTCTTCATGGCTAATTTAAAATTTATACAGAAGAAATGATGCATTCCTGCGTTTTTGTGTTAAAGAGCAAATCGTTTTATTTATCTTCATACATAAATGTTATTGTTTGGATTATAATTGGAATGATATTATAAATCAATTTCGTTTAGTTTTGTCTAAGATATGAAGTTTATTCCACTAAGACTGTCTTAAAATCAATGAATTCAAATGTATAACCCACTAGGATTTTTTGTTATTTCTTTAGATGGATGTATTGCACGTTAAATGTATGCTCAATAAGATATTAAACATTTTCTGAAGTTCGCAAGGATTTATTAATCAACGTCTTGAACGTCAAATCATATCGAAAGTCGTAATCGAAAAAAAATACTGATTTGAAAATAAATGTTAAACTAAATCTCAAGGTGTTTTTTTTTTGTTAAGCGTACACCCAAACTTATTTATTTTAGAACAGGCAATATCAAAATCTGAAACTAGTGTCTGAAACAATGTTGAACAATTCCTCGAAATATAAGTCCTGGAGCCACAAACTACGTAGTAGAGAGCGTTTTGGGTGGGTAAACAGTGTCACACCCACATTGACATTCTAGTTCTTGCTCGTCCATCAGCTTCATACATTCAGAAAACAAAGATCGAGAAATTTGTCCTGTACATTGTCTTTTTCTTCAAACATCTCTAATAGATAAAATGATATGAAAAATGTTATGTAAAAAAAAAGAAAATCATTAGTCGATTGTAGTTGTTTTAATACATTCGTTGATAGTAATCAATCACTTTATCCGTGAAATCGGTCATGCTAAATTCAAATCAACTGACAAAAAACAATATGGATAGAGAAGGATAATTTTTTAAAAAATATTCACGAAAATAAGGATTTTTATATATTAACCGGAGTTTTTTTGCTCTGAGCAACAAAATCAAATTTTTATTAATTTAATTTTTTGCTCAATTACACCCCGGATGTTTGATTTCTAATATATCATGTAAGAAAGAAAGTAGGAAAAAAAAAGAGTTCTAGAAGAAATTTAGTTAAAATTAATAAAGTCACTTTTTTTAGTTTACCATTTAATATATGAAATATTATTTCATACGAAATTATAATGTTTTTATGATATATAATAGCAAATTCATAGTAATAATGAACTTTACTACTGTTAAACTATATATCAATACTTAGCATTACTTGCAAAGGGTTTAGATTCATTTGAATTTTATTCTTTAAATACATCATCAATACATGTTATTTATTTAGAAGTCGTCAAACTGAAAGGAAAACGAACTAATGAACAACTTGAATATTTACATCAATGCAAGCATATTTATTCTATTCTCATATGGATCAATATCTTATCATTTAACTTCAGATTATATAACGAGTAAAAATGCCACCCTTAATAAACTGCAATCAATTGTCGAAGAATGGAACAAGAATGATTTGGATTGCTGTAATTTGCTAGTAAATATATTTCTCTTCCATAAACCTAACCAGGATAAATGTCTCTTGTCCACTTGTAGCATTACTTTCAGGCTCAACATTTGACTGAAATATTAGTTGAACAACAACGTTATGAAGCATGAAAAATTGCAGGTTAGTTTAGTAATGTGCGTTCTTCCTTTTACGTGTTATATGTGTCTCCTCATTGTTTATTGTATATATATAATTCATATGTAACATAATATAAAATAGAAACAATTGTCTTTATTATCATTTAACGTTCGTCTATTAAGAAATGTGTAAAAAAGAGAACCAAATAGAAAAGATTATTTTAATCAATTTAATTGATAAATGATTTCTCTTACATAAGTAAATTTTAAAATTTTGACTTCAAAAATAAATGAACAGTTATTAGTTGAATTCATTGTAGAATAAAATATTTTATATAATAGACTTGAACTGAATGGCAAGACTAGAAATAACAAATATTGATGATGTAGGATGTGGGTGTTGGTATTAATTTCGCACCCACACCCGCACCGTTTTTATTAGAATCGAACTAGAGATGCACTAATTCCAATTCTGGTTTTTGACTTGAGTTGATTGCGAAAAAGTGAAAATTGAATTATTAATATGAAATTAACATAAATCAAAAGAAATTAATCGTTGTCTGAATTTCTTTATCGCTCCAATCTAACACAACTAATTTTAAGAGAAATACAAAAGACCAATTTAGATAAACAAATTATTCAAAACTTTTCATCTTTCAAAGCTTGGAATATTTTGATGATGAGTAACAAAATCAATTTTATTTTATAAGACTTTTCATTTAAGTAGCATAAGGAATGTTTATACATATTGAACAGCCATTCAAATAAATTTCCAATAATTGTTCGTCAATTTTGATAAGGATTTCATCTTTGTTGCAAATATTAAATGGAAATGCTTGACGACGCCTTTCTATAACATAATCGACTGAACATGGTTCATCGATATATAGTCTATAGGTAAAGAATATTTTTAAATGAATCAATTTAGCCAAACCACCAAGAAGAGTATCAACAAGTAATGCATCTGTACCAAGGCAAATTATTCGAAGTTCAACATGTACTAATGATGAAAACCGTTCGACTAATTTCGATGCATATTCAAAAGGAAAATAGACATTTTCCGGTATCATATATAATGATTGCAGTTGACTAAAAACAGGTATAAGTAATGAATTGTCAAATAATATTGTGTGGAGAAGCAATGGAGTACCAATCACAAGATGAATCAAATTTGAACTTTTCCTATAAAAGAGAAAGTTAGAGACTGGAAGAACATGTCTTATCATCTGTTCGAACATTATAATTGAAGATCGTCATAGTTGCGTAAGAATTTGATCAACTAAGGACACTTACTGACTAAATATGAAACTTACAATAAGATTTGTTTAATAACATGTAATTGATTTATAAAGTTCATTGGTCGAAATTCCAATTTTGTTATTTGACTCAGATCAATGAAACGCATAATATTGTTGGCACGTACTTCTTGATCGATTTTATCAACTGAAAAATGTAAATACATTAGAAAATTGTCCATGCTATAAAAAGATAAGCAAATATTTTCTTCTTACTTAAATCCCATTCATTCCTCTGTGTTGTTGTATTAAATGATATAAACTCAATTATAAGATGATCGAGGTTTTGAAAAAGTGGAGAAGATGATGGAATATAAATAACTTCCATATTCAATGGTATGAAGAGATGTAAGTTTTTGAGATGAGAATAAAAAAGATGCTTTTCAGCATCTATTGTTACTGATGATGTCATATTTAATGAGCCAAGAATCATCTTTTCTCCCAAGAAATAGATATGTCGTGCTTTTTTCGAATACATGAACGCACGTAACCGAACATTTTCACCTGAAAAGTATTCACACGGATTTTCACTATTCAGTAGATCAATAATAAATTTTATCTTACGTTGATCATTCGGACGAAATTGTGATCGACTAATTGCCACATGAAAATCATTAAATTTTGTAAGAAAATATTTAAATGAATGGATAATAGCGATCGAATCAATAGATCGACTTGGATTTGTCATGTACAAGTAAAAATCAATTGTATCCAAGTGAGGCACGTGGATTGTCAACAATTGTTCCCATTGATAACCATCAAACAAGGTTGCTGAGAAAGGTGAATTCGATAGTGAAGATCTGGCTGCAATATTGAATCGGCGAAGATTAGGCATACAACGTAGAATAAGATTTAATTCAGGAAAGTCACATTCTTTATAAATATTCAGCTCAAATGATTTTATCGACCGTGATATGGGTAAATTATCTTTGTTAGTTGATGGTAACATTGATTGACTAAAACAAAACACATATACGTACTGTTATTTAAAAAATAAAATATTCTATTTTCATAGATGATCTTTTCATCGATAGTTACATCATATTCAGTGACTTACCTTGCAGGATAAATATTCGAGTTATCATCATTTGATATTCGAACGCGTATATCCTGCAACGCACGATAGGTACGAAAGACAGACAGGAGACAATAAATCGAGCAAGCATCAGATGAACCATTGAAAATTATATAAAGTGAAGTTAGTGTCCAATTAAGAAAAGTATTAGAAAAGAAATCGAAGTGATCATAACGAAAATAAAATCTGATTAAACGAATTTCGGACGATCTGTGCATCAAAATAGTTCGACTTAAATGCCATTTGTCTGTTTCAGAAAATGATATGTGAGACGGTTGATCTATCTTAAACGACACCAATTTTGTAAGATCTCTGAGTTGTTCAATGACACTGTAAAGTTTTGATGATGAACAAATTGAAGAAAATTTACATGATCGAAGGTTAAGAAATTTATGTCGATTGAAAAAGAATAAAATAACAGATGATAAATCACGAAGTTGATCTGGAAGAGAGATTGAAATCACTTGATTAGCATGGTTAATAAGATAAGAAGACAGAGTTTCAATTTGACGACGACAATAAAGTTTTGACACAATAACATGAAGTGGAGTCGAATATAAAATTGATAAAATACGTTCATTAAGTGAAGAAAATGCCATAAATATATCAAATGCATGTAAATATTCAAAAATTTCCAAGAATATTTCATTAGAAAAGTCTTCGAGTTGACTAATCTTGTCCATTGTTTATTTTTTGTATCATAATAGTTCATTGGAGTTGTTTTATATAGGAAGCTTCTACATAGCGGAGTCTATCGATTGGCGTAAACATGTAAAGGTCATCTATTATTTTGCTTCACTAATTATGAGGTGCCTATAGGAATTATTGACGGCTGAATCGAATGAAAAATGCAGACGGCTTTTTTTTCTCTCTCTCATGCTGTGTCTCAGTGAAGCTATCGAAAAAGAATATTTCAATAGAATAAGCTGAATTACTCATTTGATCTAATATTTTCTTTTTTACTTTTCTTAACATTTTCATGTTGATGACGCTGAAGATCAGATAGAACCTGATAATTTATACTTAACAGATAAGATACTTTGTTTCGTAAATGTTTTATTGCACATGATATATTGGCATTGTAATTCTTTTAGCAATAATTGTTCTCCTATTTGTGTATAAATATTTGAATTAGAGTCAATGTAATGCAATAGCAGTGTTTGTCCTTTTATTTGTTAAACGAAATTCTTTTGTGTTAGACAAATGATGTTTTTTGAGTAGAATCATTTAAAAGCATCGTTTGACTTTTATCAAAAGTGAAAACAATGAACTCGAGTTCCTTGAAGTCGCCAAAAATATTATCAGAAATCACCGTAGTTACGTTAGAAAATTGATTTAAAAAGTATCTATTTCCATTCTCAGTATCGAATTCTCTTGAATCATGAAAAAAGTTTTAAATTTACGACTTGATTGCACAAATAAATGGCTTGTGAAAAAAGATCTGTTTTCTTTTTAAAATTCCTATTATTTCTTGCTACAGTTATTATCAAAGTATGACTTTTTGGTAAAGGAATAATCATATATGCACAGAGAAAAGAAGATTAAAATTCAATTCTACTTGATAATAGAGGAATTGCATTTGTAGTTACAGAAGTTTGTTTCATATTGTATTCTCTAAAATAAATGTATATGCTTGTTGATATCTTCCATCGATAATAATCAGTGTGTTGAATTTAGTATCAATTTTATTGACATTAATCACGTCTTGTTCGATTTTGAATTCATAAAGACTATTATCGACACACCAAGCGTAAAGTGCAGTAAAACAAAAACTATAAGAAAATCAGCATCTTGTGCAAAAAGAAGCAAATTAATAAAAGAATTGACACTCTTTCCGTGTTTTTTGTATCGTATGTTAAAACTGTCATTCAAAAAGTCAACACTAGCAAAACAAAGTTCAAGTGAAATAAAAAATTTATGTATTATGTATACTCATGTTCTTTTTCTCTATCTAATCTTATGTAAAAACTGATTATTGACTTGTTTACCTAGGTGGTCTGCAACATAATACGAATGATTTCGTCATTACACTAAATATCAATAATAGACGAAATGATCTGCCTGCATTTAAACATTGAAGAGAAACTATTTCGTCGTTGATTCAGATCACTTATTACAATTTAGTGTCTGATGTTATCTAATAATAATATAATAATGGGTGGACCATAAATAATGGCCCTCTCAGTATTTTGACTATAATTATTTTTTTTCTTTTTTCAGTGGGCGA